ATGAGAAGGAGCGACTGGAGCGGAGGCGCTCCAGGGTCTTTGACCTGCAGTTCAGCACAGACTCACCTCACCTCCTCTCCTCCCCCTCCAGCAGGAATGTTGATGTTTCAGCTACAATTCCTAAATTTACAAACACCCAGATTACAGAGCATTACTCCACATGTATCAAGCTGTCTACTGAAAACAAAATCACTACCAAGAATGCTGTCGGCTTGCACTTGATTGATTTTATGTCAGAGATCCTTAAACAGAAGGACACTGAACCAACCAACTTTAAAGTAGCTGCTGGTACCCTGGACGCCAGCACCAAAATCTATGCTGTGCGTGTAGATGTCGTCCATGCTGATGCATACAGAGTCTTGGGGGGGCTTGGCAAAGACGCCCCATCTGTGGAAGAAGCAGAGGACCCTGGTACAGAGGGAAGCACTGCTGAAACAGGAACAACCAGAAAGGCTCCAAAACCAAAGAAGAAGCATTCCTGCAAAACCATCGAGCAGAATATAAGCAACCTCAATGTCTCTGAAGCAGATCGAAAGTGTGAGGTGGATCCCATGTTTCAGAGGACGGCAGCCTCCTTCGATGAGTGCAGCACAGCAGGGGTGTTTCTCTCCTCCCTGTGCTGCCAGGACTACCAGAGCGAGCTGCTTTTCCCTTCCAATGCCCAGCCTCTCTCCACTGGGGAGTCCCTTGAGCTGCCAGACTTGGGCTGGGTAGAGATGGCAGACCTGAAAGCGCCCCTGCAGCAGTGTGTGGAAGGTCGCCAGCTCTGCCCTGCCCTGGCCGGCTTCCAGTTCACCCAGTGGGACAGTGAGACGCATACTGAGTCTGTGTCGGCCCTGGTGGACAAGTTCAAGAAGAACGACCAGGTGTTTGATGTTGATGCAGAGGTCGAGGAGAATGACAGTGGGGACTTCCTCGATGGGCCCCTGGAGGATGACTTTGATGCCAACGATGAGCCCGAGCACACTACCGCAGGGGACGACGAGGACTTCAGGAGCTGGAAGGAGCCCTGC